ACAAACACCAAAACGGACCAGGAGTAAAAACTAGCCAATTATTCAGAAAATAAAAAAACAAAAACAAACAAAACAAACTTCCCATCAAAAGTTCAAGAAACAAACTAAGAACACTATGGGACAGAATCCAAAGCAACACTATCAGCAGCGGGAGAGGTAGAATCCAATATGGCATCATCAACATCGGGAGAAGATTCGACTTGAGCAGAAGAGGCTTGAACACCAACTTCACCAGGAGTAAGTTCATCACCTTCGGGAACTCCGACCTTAGGTGAGGAAAAGTTCTAACTTTGCTGAGTTTTTTCAATAGTTTCCTTAGCTTTTGCAATCTCAGCAGTCAAGTCAAAGCCTTTCTGGCTAGCCTCCATCAATGTCTCGAGGCGCGTGTTCAGAAAAGCCCAACTTATGTCAAGAGTTGATTTATCTTCAAGAGCCTCGTAGTCCTTCTCCCATTGCTCAATTTCAGCCTTCAACTCTTCTCTTTCAGTCAAAGAGGCATCATAAGAAGCCTTCTAAGGGGCGAGGGATCTCTCCAAGAACTGGACCTTATCAGTAGAGGCACAAAGGTCTTCTTGAGCCTGAGTGAGTGTTTGAACAAGCTCCCCGGCATAGGTCTCCTTCTGATTAAGGAGTTCTTCAAACCCCTAATCTCTTCGATAGCTTTGGAAAGTTGCTCTGCAAATGAAGACTCAAGGATGTCTTTATCTTTGCCAACTTGACTGGAAGAGGCTTTTTCAATTGCCATTTCTGCCGCCATCACTCTTACTTGTTGTTCCAAAGCACATTTCTCCTCATCTAAAACTTATTTCTCCAACTGAATACCCTCGTATTGTTCATTCCAGTTGTCCGCCTCCGTACGATAATCGTTGACTAGCTGTTCAGTGTGGGCAATTCTCTTCATAAGCTCCGTACCTGTCAAGTTGATCTACAAAAGAAAAGAAAGGAGTGATTATCAAACAAAGATAAAAAATCACGAGGAAAATAAAGGAAAGAGCTAAGACTTGTACCTTCAAAGATGAATGAACAATATAATTTATCCACGTCAAGGAACTGTGGCTTTCCAACTTCGACTTCTCAACTGGGCCAAGTAGAGGTTTTAGCCATACGTCGGCTTGACCGTATGTTTTCAAAAGATTACCATCCTCGGGGACTCTATGGTAACCTTTTTTATCATCCTATTGCTACTGGAAGTACCAACTTCAACATGAGAAGTGATAGCAATAGGGACAATTGAGGAAGTGAAAACAACCCCGGGGGAGTAGTAGCAGCAACAACAGGAGCGAAAATCTGAGAATCAATAGGAACTGACACTGGAAAAGAGGCAAGGGGTGCTTCTTCAGAAACAGGACCAAAATCTTCACTATCAAAACCACGGGTAAACAATTGATCGGTAGAGTCACGAGGGGCAACATTCATCTCTTCATCAGAACTCACTAAAGTAGCACTTTCAGGCTCATTCACAGGAACTGAACATGGAGGAGGGGTGGTTTGATCATCCGAAATAATGCGCCTACTAGCCCGAGTCCTGCGCACTAAAGGACCCTCTTCTTGTTCCTCTTCACCCTTCGAGCCACGAGCTCCCTCCGCTTTTCTCTTTGATGAAGAATTTAAAATCATCTCTTGAGCAAGGGACAAAGAGAGTCTTGATGAAGTAATAAATGTGGTAATGACACCTCGAATGGGAAACCCTAGCAGAGGAAAAATTTAGTAACCTCCAAGTAAATATAAAAGAAAGGAGGAAAATTAAAGAGAAGGATACCATGAGTCTTGACTTTCCAACCAAACCTATGAGAAAAGTATTTCCAAGACCTTCCTTCCATAGGAGCAACCGACAATAATTTCTCTACCCAAGCACGGAAGTTTGGTATTTCTTCAAAAACTTCCATGGTTTCTAAAAAGAAAAGAAAAAATCCACGAGATCGTAAGTTTCTTCTTCCCTCATAAAAGAAGAAGAGAGATGCTTAAAAAAAAAATTTATATGCAAAATTCCACTTTTCTGGAAAGGGCATGTTCTCCTCACCCACCAAAACCACTTGTGGGAGCAGCAATGAAATGGGCGTACCAGCCACGTTCTCTATCATCTTCAGGGCTAACCAAAACCCTTTTGCTTTTGGCCACGAGAGTAAAGACCCCTGAACGAAATAACTTTGGGGCATAAATATGAAGCAAGTGTTGAAAGGTAAAGGGTAAGGTAGCCAAATTAGATAGGTATCGTAGACATGCAACAACTCTCCATACAATAGGACCAATCTGTCCTAAGCAAACGTTAAAGAAGCGACAAAATTCTATGATCGCCAGGTCAATAGGTGGTCTGAAACCTAAGGTAAAAGGATATGTGTAAACAAAAGAATAACCAGCCTGGTAAGAAGTTATCCTTTGGTTTGATCCAGGAACTAAAACTGAAAAATCAGATTTTCAGTGGCATTCTCTTCGCACAAGAGAAATCAAGACATTAGTAATCTGGGAAGGATAGACATCGGCACGATCATGGGAAGTCATAGAAGTAACTTGGTTCCTAATCGATTCATGATCAGTAGAGAAAGAAAATTCTTGAGGAACGATTTCATCAACTGTTGGTTCTCGAATGGGTTCACTTGATTCCCTATTTCTGGCAGAAGATCTATGGGTTGAAGATGTCCTAGTCCTAGAAGAAGAAGGAGTAACAATGTTGGTTTGGGAAGTAGAACCACGAATAGATACAGATCCTAAACTACGTAATCTACCACCTCTTATACTCCTAACAGGAGTAGTTGAAGGGGGAAGTTCACCTACAATTACTACTCTATGAGGATTGGGGTTTGATGAAGACATGGTTATACAAGAAAATAATGCGTGCTGAAGAACATGAACGATTAAAGAAGAAGAACACTGTAGATTGAAGGTTTTATGAAACTAAAAGCACATGAGGTATTTATAAAAAAAAGAAACTGTCATGTAAAGTAAGTCATGATGGAAACGTCATAATGAAACAGTCACTTCATGACTAACGCAGCCGCAAGAAAGCCCTAAAAACCGATGAAGAGTCGCAGACCCAATCGATGAAGGCCACATAGCACATACATTAAATGGAAGTGACATGCGATGCGTTGGTTCTGAAGAATACGCAATGATACATGGGAAACGACGGCAAAATATTCCCGTCATAAATACGTACCACTTCCCAAATATTCAATTGCAGAATATTTGGCAAGTGGGGAGACTATCTGTATTGGTAGAAAATAAATAATACACGTGGAATTATATGTGGCTTGACAGGGCATGATACGTGGATCATTAAGAAGATGACAACTGGAGTGTAATAATTAAAAGATGCACAAGTTACAAGAGAAACGAACAAATCATTCACGAGATGAAAGGACGCTGTTGCTCGAGCCTAAATTGTTCAATGAAGAGACACAGATGACATGAATCAAGACAATAAAAAGAGAAGATTCACGAACCTCCAATTAATGAGGAAGAAGAATCAGAACCATTACAGAATCTTCATGGACAGTTACGATCGCCAATTATAATGGTTCATTTAATGTCATTAATGCTCATAATGACTCAAACATAAATGGAATGAAACGTTATATTTGTAAACCCCTATATAAGGGAGGAGAATTTCACTTGTAAAGGCACGTTCTGATTCTTACTCTAATACAATTACTTTCTTTTGTTTTCAATCAATTATTTCCATATTTCTTGTCACGTTTATTTTCTTTCATATAATTGAGAAAGTACAGAATTTCTTGGTTATCAGTAACCCGAGTTCTTCTAAAAATAGGCTTTGACCGAGAATCTTATTTTTTGGTTAAACATGCACCAAATACACTTTTTTCCTAGGTTGGGTCGCATCCACCTTCTTCTCCTATAGATGGAGCACCTTTTCTTCATATTTTTGCACTCCAAATATCCTAAATCATCACACACAACTTAATTAGTCATAAAACTAATAATTAACACATGTTGATCATTTTTAACACTAAATAGCACCAAAAAAGGTTAAAATATGGGTAAAGTAATATTAAAACTTATAGAAATATGCCCAACATCATCTATTCCTATATGAATTTGACTACAAATTCTATTTAGACATAAATTAAGTAGCTAGCAAATTTAAAATTCTAAAAAACTATAATTTTGAATTAGTTTTCCAACATATCTTCATTTTGACTTGTTCAATTGTGTTGGAATCAGCTTCACAAAGTCTACAGATAAAGTGAAGAATGAGGGTTTGAAACAAAATGTCAATACAAACAAAGAAGATCAGACCATTTTATCTTAGTGGGTCAAGTTAATCAGGGCAATTTATCAAGTGTTATTACAAAGATTTAATCTGGTCCATTGATTCTTAGCACAAGCTGAACACGTGACCAAGTACAATCATCTATATCTAGAAGCTTCCCTATTCAGATAAAATCAGTGCTACTGTTTGTATAGAAATAATATATTTGTTAAATTCTTTGGATTCTTTTAGTTAATTATGAGCTAAGCAATAGAGGTAGGACACCTCTAGGTGTGAATAACAAATTTTATTTCTTTTGCTTTGTATATATAAATGTACAGTCTTTCAATGAAAGATACAGAGAAGAAGTTTTTTTACATTTTTCTGTTCTTATTCCAATATGGTATCAGAGCAGTAAGGTACTCGATCCAATTCTCCTCCCTCTTTCTTCCTTCTTCCTCTTCTTCTCTAAAGCTTAAGTTGAACCTCTTCAATGACTATTGATGATCAAACTGTTTCACATGGAGTAGTGGACGACACTACATCCAGTGTTCAAACCCCACCTTAAATCACTCTCACTCATGACTCTTCACACCCATTTTACCTTCATCCATTTGATTCCCCAGGGATGATTCTTGTCAATTATATTTTTAATGGAAGGAGCTAAGAAGGATGGCGCAGGGCTGTTCTCATAGCTCTATCAGCTAAGAACAAATTGGGGTTCATAGATGGAACCATATTAGTCCTTACTACATCTGTATCTTCCTTCAAACTTTGGAGCCGTTGTAATGACATGGTGATATCATGGCTTCTCAATTCACTTTTCAAGGAAATTGCTGAAAGTGTCCTCTACTCCAAAACAACAAGAGAGATTTGGAAGAATCTTGAGGACAGATTTGGGCAAAGCAATGGAGCTTTGCTTTATCAACTGCAAAATAAGCCCAGTGACACAGTTCAAGGAAGTTCACACATAGCTGGTTATTATACTAAAGTGAAAAGAATCTGGGATGAGCTTGACAGCCTAGATACTTGTGTTCACTGTAGTTGTGATTGCTCTTGTGGAGGGAAGAGTAGATCTCTGAAATCTCATCAAGATGGCAGGCTCATCCAGTTTCTCATGGGGCTGAATGAGGCCTATTCAGGTGTAAAAAGCAATATTCTGATGGCTTCACCTCTGCCCATCATCAATCATGCTTACTCCCTTTTAATTCAAGATGAAAAACAAAGGGAGATACATGTAGCTCAACACCCCGTTGAATCTGCTTTCATGGCTGCAAGACAACAATATGGAGGTCAGAAGCTTGGATGTTCTGAGTAAAGGGGAAACTATGAAGGAAAGAAGAACAATCTTATGTGCTCCTATTGTAAGAAGCCAGGACACACTGCTAAAAAATGTTATAGAATCATTAGTTTTCCGGTTGATTTTAAATTTACCAAAAACAAGAGGTTTCAAAGTGCTGGTACACATGCAAATGCAACTGTCACAACTGAAGATGGAGGGCATCAGACCTTTAATGCCACATAAAGGGCCATCACTCACGAACATTACAACAACTTGTGTCAACTTCTACAACAGGTTAAGTCTGGATTTTAGGGAGAAATGAATTCTGAGGTCAATGTCACTGCTAACTGTGCTAGTATACCTAAACATCCTTTCTATAATACTTCGAATTCTGTTATGTGGATCTTAGATTCTGGTTCCTCTGAACACATGTCATGTGATTTCAGTCTTTTTTTCAATGTGAAAACACTCACTAAACCTGTTTATGTTAACCTTCCTAATTCACAAAGAGTCAGAATCACTCAGATAGGAAGTGTGTACATCATGTCAAATTTTATTATTAAAAATGTGTTGTTTCTTCCTAGTTTCAGATATAACCTATTGTCAGTTCATAGATTCTGTCAGCAAGCTGATTCTCTCCTCATTTTCTCTGCTTTTGGTGCAATTTTGTAGGCCCTTTCAATGAAGAGGCCAGTGGTTCTTGGTAAACTAAGGAAGGGTATATATCTACTTCACTCTATCAAGCCTAGTGCCAGTCTATTAAGAAGAATAAATGACTCTAATCCATTTCTTTCAAGTTACAATAGGTCTAGCAGTTAGTCTTTATATAGAATCAAGGAGTTCTGTTAATCTAGTTCAAGTTGTGGTAGGACTAGTAATCAATGTTTATTTTTAGTTTTTTGTTCAACAACTATCTCAAGTGATATAACTCTTTGGCACAATCGTTTGGGGCATTTACCCCTTAATAATATGAAAAATATTTCCACTATCTTTTGTTCATCTTTATCTACTTTACTTGATCATTGTGACATTTGTACAAGAGCAAGGCAAGTTAAATTACCTTTCCTATCCAGTTCAATCTCCACAAAAGATATCTTTGAGCTACTTCACATAGACACTTGGGGACCTTATAAAGAGCCTACCCATGATGGTTATAGATACTTTTTGACCATAGTTGATGATTACAGTAGAGGCACTTGGACCTATTTACTTAGTACAAAATCCAACGCATTCACTATCCTAAAGCAATTTTTAGCTATGGTTGAAAGGCAATTTGACAGGAAAGTTAAGGTGATAAGATCAGACAATGCCCTAGAGCTTGGAGAGATTATGAAGTCCTCACTTTTTCTTGCTTCTAAGGGGATAATACATCAAACTAGTTGTGTTTACTCTCCACAACAAAATGGTATTGTTAAGAGAAAACATAAGCACCTTCTAGAAACTTGCAGGGCCCTATTGTTTCAGTCCAAACTCCCTATTTCTTACTGGGGAGAATGTCTACTCACAGCCACATATCTCATAAATAGATTTTCTTCCAAGGTTCTTAAGTTTAAAACTAGCTATGAAATTTTATTTGGTATGCCTCCTTCTTGTCATTCCATTAAAGTTTTTGGTTGTTTAGTCTATGCTTGCACTTTATCACCACACAGAATCAAACTTGACCCAAGGGCTGTCCCTTGTGTTTTCCTGGGATATGCTACTGAAAAAAGGGATATAAACTGTTAAATCTCCTCACCATGAAGATTTTTGTGTCTAGGGATGTCAAATTTTATGAATCTATTTTCCCTTTTCCTCCTAACACAAGCAAACCGGTTGTCTTCCCTAGGGAATCTCCATAACCTTCAAATTTCCCCGTGGTAGCACATTCACCTACACCTCAGTCTTCTTATCCTACAGTCAGTACACTTAACAGTCTAGTCTCACAACATTTTCAGCCTTGTTCTTTTACAGATAATTTACCAATCTTTCCAACCAATGCTGGTTTCTCTCCTATGCATTCACCTAATCAATCTTCACACTCTCAGCCAATTGTCACTAGCATACAAGAAATTAGAAAATCTACCAGAACACATAAGACTCCTGCCTATCTACAGGATTATGTTTGCAATTCTGTCTTTCTTACTAACTTGACTGCATCCTTTTTTTTGCTCAAATTCTATTAACTATTCTTCCCTTCTCTGCACTCTCTCTCACAAACTAGTTTATGCTTAACTCCATCTCTTATATCACTGAACCTACATCCTATTCTCAAGAAGCTCTTCACCCTGGTTGGCAAGAGGCAATGACTAAGGAATTTGAGGCCCTTGAGTTAAACAAGACCTCGGATGTTGTACCTTTGTCTACAGGGAAGAGAGAATTACCATGTAAATATGTTTACAAGGTCAAACACAAATCAGATGGATCATTAGAAAGATTTAAAGGTCGACTGGTCATTTGAGGGGACATACAAAGGGAAGGGATTGACTTTACGGATACTTTTCCCCCAGTAGTAAAGATGACAACCATTAGGTGCATCCTTGATGTGGCAGTCAAAAAAGGCTGGGATATTTTTCTGTTAGATGTGAATAATGATTTCTTACATGGAGAATTACAGAAAGAAGTGTTTATGAAATTCCCACCTGGAATGTCACCACCTTCTCCCAACCATGTGTGTCTCCTAAAGAAAACCTAAAGAAATCCCTTTATGGACTGCGGCAAGCCTCGAGGCAATGGTATGCCCTGTCACACCTCTTTTCTACCCCCGAAAGATATATGTATATAGATTGTTGTGGGTTAAAGAATTTTTCCAATTAAAGTGACAAACTTGAGTAGGAATTATTTTATTTACAGAGTCGCCACTTAGAATTAATTTTTCGGTATTCCAAGTCATCTTTTATTTGAATCCCTATTCAATGAAAGATTTGACTATTTTATTATTGGTCTGTGAAAATAAAGTCCGGGTAAGGAATTCTGTTGACCGGGAAGAAGGTGTAAGGTATTCCCCGAGTCCCGTGGTTCTAGCACGGTCGCTTTATTGACTACAACTTGGCTTGAATTGATTTTGGACAAACTGTGTTTTATATGATTTTTATATTTTTTCCTATGTCCGCTTTTATTGCTTGATTATTAAAATTGTTAAAGGATGTTTTGAATAATAAGATGTCGTAACCTAACTACACAAGCGAATGCGTGATCGAGATGAGATTTATTAATTTTTGTCATAACAGCGCTACGCAAGCGAATCTGCAGTCATGACAAGTTATTACTTTTGGGAAAAATTACTACATGTGAGAAAATTAATTTTGGGAATCCGCATATCGATCGCATGATCCCTCTTGAGTTTTTGCGGAGGTAGTTCTGCGGTACATTATGCGATCGTAGAACGAGTATGCGGATCGCATACTGGTCGCATACCTGAGCCAAAAGTTTAGGCCCCTGAGGGCCATTTCTGCGGTCACTTTGTGGACCGCATAACCATTATGCGGTCGCATATGCGATCACAGACCTGTGTCGGGGCACCATTTTTCTTAATTTAAAACCCGACTACCATTCTGTTAAAACACCCATTTAGTCTACTTTGAAGCTCATTTATGAGATTTCTAGTGTGAGAGAGAGAGGGTTCTAGAGGGAGGGCCTAATTCCCATAATTTGATCTTCAACTATCACTCAAAGCTTGAAAATATTCAAGTAGAATACCTAATTCTTCATCCAAAAAGGTAAGACTCCATCACCCCAGCTCTTAATTATAAACATAGCTATAATGGGATATTAATAAGATAGTCCATGGGTATAAGGGTTGTTTATCTTGCATGCATGTGATAAAGATTGTGGGAAAAATAATAAGTGAACTAGAACCATGCATGTTTTCCTAATTTTGGGTTCAATTTGTATATTGCTTAAATAGATTAGGGTTGCTAAGGGTTCTGAAAAATTATAGAGTCTAAAGAAGCGCATTTGAGGTATGTATGGCTAACTCTTTCTTTCTAGAATCGAACTCCTGGTGTCCGAATGATTGGTGTAAGTTCCGACTTAATCTTACTAGAATTATTTGCCTTAGTGTGTTGGATTGAAAGATTTATGTTCCCTAATTATTTTAGATATTTACCACGTCATCATCCTATTTGAGAACGTAACTATGATTTTCTAAATTCCTTCCCTTATGTGTGCAATGCCTTATGTGATGGTACTTATGGACATGAATCATCGTGTTATTTGAACAAAAATAAAAAAGGGGGGGGGGGGGGGGGGAAGACTTGAATTGTAAATGTGCCCAAGTGCCAATAACTATTTAATAAATGAGGCTGTTATGCCATGTAATGAAAGATGGGAAAGAGATGTGAATTGAGTGAACAATTGAAAGAGGTTATGTCTCAAGTGAGATGGCTTAGTAGATCAGGCCGAGATCGGACGCCATGCCGTACACATGGTGGCATTTGTGTTGGAACTATTGATTTACATGGTGGATATGGCTATGTCTCACTTGGGATGGCTTAGCCGGTCGGGCCGAGACTGGACTCCGTATAAAAATATGGTGGCATTATGAGTTGTGGCTTTGGCACTAAAGATTATTAACCTAAAAAGATGGAAAGATTGAATTGGAAATTATGTGATCCTTACTTGGTGTTTCTTGTATTTCTATGAAGTACTTATTGATTATTATGACTTCCTTCTATTTGTGTCACTGTTCATTCTACTAAGATTGGTGTTTGCCTTACATACTATTACTATTCGACAGTACTAACGTCCCTTTTGTCGGGGCGCTACATCTTTGAATTGATGTAGGTGGTTCTATCGCAGACAGTGCCAATCGCAGATAGTGGTGTTCTCTTTCTCTCCTCACAGCAGTCTTGGTGAGCCCCATTTCTCCTAGGGGTTATGTAGTCCTTCTTTTGTATAAGTTTTTATATTTTGAGGTATAGCCGGGGCCTTGTTGCCGGCATTGTCAGGTTGCTCTTTTGTATCCTTAGAGGCTCCGTAGACGTTTATGTGGGTAATATATGTATGTTGGGGTGGTCGTTGGATCGAGTTGTATTTTGGAAACTCAACTATGGAATAAT